AGATTTTAGATTATTTTTGTTAATTATAAATACATGTTTGGTCAATTTGTTGTTGATTACTCGTTCCGTGATGCTACTGATGGTGATGATGCTACTAATGTTGATGATGTTTTTGTTCATTTTGATATATTTGATCCAAGAAATTGGGATGCATTAGATTCTAAAATGATTGATGTGTTAGTTGCTAAGGGTCCTAAAAGAGATTTGTCTATTCAGAAAGGTCCTAAAGAAAAATTATCTAAACGTTTTTCTGCCACATGGTATACTAGAATTTTATCAAATGGGGAGAAATGTGATAGAGATTGGCTTGTATATTCAGTAGAGCTTGATAAGGTATTTTGTTTTTGTTGTAAAATCTTTAAAAAAAGACATATAAAAGGTCAGTTAACAAATGATGGATTTGGGGATTGGTCACACCTTAGCACTAGACTTAAGGAGCATGATACAAGTATAGATCATGTCATGAATATGAAAACTTGGTATGATTTGCGGCTAAGACTTCAAAAGAATCAAACCATTGACAAAGTTGTTCAAACCCAAATAGAAAAAGAAAAAAATCATTGGAAAAAAGTTTTGGTAAGAGTTGTTTCTATTGTTAAATTTCTTGCAAAACATAATCTTGCATTTCGTGGAAGTAAAGCAAAATTGTATGAGAATAGCAATGGTAACTTTTTGGGCTTGATTGAGATGTTGGCTGAATTTGACCCAATTATTCAGGATCATGTTCAACGTATTACAAATGATGATTTACATTTTCATTATCTTGGTCCTAGAATTCAAAATGAGTTGATTACTTTGCTTTCCAGGAGACTTAAATGTGAAATTATTAATAAAGTAAAAGAGGCAAAGTATTTTTCTGTTATCCTTGATTGCACTCCCGATATAAGTCATCAAGAACAAATGTCCTTGATATTAGGTATGTAGATGTCTCTTCTAAAATTGTTAGCATTGAGGAATCTTTTCTAGGATTTTTGGAAGTAGATAATACCACGGGCCAAGGTTTGTTTGATGTTCTAGTAGCTGAATTAAAATCTCTTGGTTTGGATTTAGATGATGTGCGAGGACAAGATTATGACAATGCTTCAAACATGAAGGGAAAACATCAAAGAGTACAAAGGAAACTACTAGATATAAATCCTAGAGCATTTTTATACTTCTTGTGCTTCTCATAGTCTTAATTTAACTTTGTGTGATATATCCAATACTTGTGGTAAAGCTAGAGATTTTTTTGGAATAATTCAACGTATTTATACAATATTTGCTAATTCCACTAAAAGATGGCAAGTGTTTAAAGATAATGTAAGAGGATGGACCGTCAAGTCATTGTCAACGACTCGCTGGGAGAGTCTTATTGATAGTGTAAAGGCTATAAGATTTCAAGTGTTAGAGATAAGAGAAGCTTTACTTCAAGTGGCTGAAATAKATAATGACTCAAAAATTAGAAGTGAACCAAAATCTTTAGCACACAATGAGCTTGGGGATTTTGAGTTTCTAGTGTCAATGATGGTTTGGTATGAAATATTGTATGCCGTAAATTTGATTAGTAAACATTTACAGTCAGAAAATATGTTAATTGATGTTGCTATTGATCAAGTTAAGGGACTGATTTCTTATTTTAAGGGATATAGAGAAACATGATTTTTAGATGCTATAGAATTAGCAAAAATGATTGCCACTGAATTAAATATTGATCCGTTGTTTCCTCAAAGACATGAAATTCAAAGAAAAAAGCATTTTGATGAAAATCCGCGTGATGCATCTGAAATGAATTCACAATCAACGGAGGAGTTATTTAGAGTTAATTATTTCTTATGTGTCRTTGATCATGCAATTGCTTCRCTAARTAGGAGATTCGAACAATACCAAGAATAYGAAAGTGTGTTTGGGTTTTTGTTTACATCWGATAAGTTGCGTTCTTTGGATGATACATGTTTAAAGTCTTSTTGTACTAATTTTGAAAATGCACCGAAGAAACAAGACCAATCTGATATAGATGGGAATGACTTATATGTTGAACTGAAGATACTTCAAGATCTTTTACCCACACAAAAGATGGGACCTCTTGATATTTTAAAGTATTTGAAACATGTTGAATGCTTCCCTAATGCGATTATTGTTTATAGAGTTTTGTTGACTATTCCTGTAATCGTTGCATCTGCAGAAAAAAGTTTTTCAAAGTTGAAGCTGTTGAAGTCTTATATGCGCTCCACAATGACACAAGAAAGGCTTAACAGACTTGCAATGATAGCACTTGAAAATGACTTTTTGGAAAAAGTTGATTATGAAGAGCTTATTGAAGATTTTGTTTCCAAGAATGTTAAAAAAATGATTTTATTCAAGTGAAGTTTACATGTTACATTGTTACTTTGTCTTCTGTTTTTATTTGTAAGACTTTAAATATAATATGAACTTTTGTATTTAACTTTAATTCGTTTTGTTGGCCAATCTACTTATATTTTTTATAATAATGTAACAGGGCCTCCAAAAAGATTGGGACGGCCCTGATAGTATCAAGAGCAATTCATGGGTGAGGGTGGGATTGCAAGTGATCAAGGGTGTAATTTTTTTTTTACGGTTTTCAACATAACTTCCATTCTTACACGATCATTCGTCTTATTTGCAATTATTAATTTATAAAACTTGGTAAATCAAGTTTAGTTCTTTTTAAATCATAAACAAGTGTCAAAGTGGTTTTTTAAACATGATCAGAAACTAAAACGTTGTCAAACGATAATTTAACTCAAAAACGCAAACTAACTCAAATTAATACGCATTCATTCATTTCCCTTTTATCGCTTTTTCATGTACACAAACTACATGCTAATAAGGGTAATAAGAAAATAAACACCAAACGTTTTGATGATATCTAAACCGTCGCACAAATTATCTAAGGGTTTTTATCTTGGGTGTAAATATAGTCAAGATGAGCATCAACAAGCGTCCTCCTCATCAAACACTCTTCTTTCCCGACCCCTTCGCAACTTTCTTCAACAAAACCCTACAAGAAAACGAACTTTTAATACCAGAAATCGACATTAACTGATGATGCAAGTG